ATGCCAGGGCTAGAATCCAGGATTACAGCATATGCAACTGAAAAATACAAGTATTAGAACCCCCCCAAAAAAAACAATTTAAAAACTCAAGCTATGAGAACATCTATTTCTGAACAAAAGAGCATGAAGAAAAGTTTGATGGATTCTTAATTTTGTGTGTTGCAGATCTAAATGCATAAAAGCCTGTGGCATTGGGCTTTTTCCTATTGTATGTTTTAGTTTTACTGGTTGATATTCACTTGATACTAGTTACATAGAGCTAATCTGCAGTTCTGAGACTGTGGACAATTTAGACATTGCATGCCTGATGCAAGAGAGTTACAACCCTCCTGGGCAGCATTGCTGCTATATCTCCTCCCAGCTTTACCAACATTGGTCCAGCTTTTGTCCGATGCCCATGTTTGTCATGTGTCAAGGAAACCGTCTCTGTCTGTGGAAGTCAGTTTTTAGAGGACGGCACAACCAGTAGACATCCAAATAGGTGTAAACTATAACATGTCTACGTGTCCTTATTGGGGAAATAGGAAGACAGAATTAGATAACAATAATAATAATGATTGATAGTAACTAAGTTTTTATTCTGTTTCAAGCACTTGGCAAAGTAATTTGCATGTATTATCTTATTAAACCTTGTAACAACCCTATGAGGCAGGAAATTTATTGCCACATTTTATAGGTGAGTTAAATGTGGCCCAGAGAGGCGGAGAAACTTGCTCAAGATGATCTCTAAAGTGCCTTATAATTCCAAAAAGCTATAGATTTTAATTAAACCTCACAGTCTGAATAAATCTGAGATAGATGAAATGAGTGAAAATAATATGAAATTATGTTTTACTTCCTAACCTCGGGTCATTCTTTTTCTCAAAGGGAAGGCTAGAGCTTAAAAATAGAGCAATATATGTCGATGATCAGATTAATTACATTTAAATGCTTATCATCTAAAATGAACCTAGAATATGGTAACAACAAGTGATGAAACAATGTTATTGTCAAAATAGGGAGTCAGGTTCCCAGAAAAAAAAAAAATATCTCCAATTAAGAAATGGGGACTTTGTGGTTAAACAAGAAATACAAAACCAAACAAACACAAAAGAATTCAAGTTGCGTTCCTCCAGTTTGGAAGACAAGTGTTCCCCTTCCGGGTGTATTTCAGTATTGTTCCATGTCGTAATCTTGCTTTGTTGATAGTAGCTTATGATGTCCCACTCATGACACCATGTGAAAATGTTCAACTCTGTGCCCAACCCTTATAACCTCTTTTCAAATGCAGCACAGTGTAGTAGAGAAGAATGGGGAAGCGTTCAATTAAGCAATTTTTATTTTCATACTGTATAATGAAAAGCTCTCCTTTACTGGAGGAAAATGATACAAAGTCAGCAAAGCTTATCCATCAGTAGTGACGTGTCTTACACAGTTTCACTGAGACATGCCCCGTTAGTGGATTTGACTAAAGAACCAAATTTCATTTTGCATGTAAAAACTACAATAAAAAGAATTTCCTCTCACCATCTAAGGATGAAAATTACCATTATAGAAAAGCAACAGTCATTAAATAAATTAAAAGCATCTTTAAAGTTTTCCCATATATATATATAATATATATTTCTTAAATTGCCACCAACTGTACAAGCATTAAATTCTGGTCTAAAACATTTACAGAAACTAGTGTGAAAAGCTGAGGGAACGCTTGGTGTTTAGAAAAGGGGGGGTCATTTAATCACCTATAAACTACATTAAAATATGATTCTCAAGGGGAAACAAGCATTCTTATTTAATTTTATGCCTAATCTTACACACCACATGTGCATAGCTATTCTTTAACCCAACCTTGATTCAACAAGAAGTCAATATCCAGATATTAGTTACTTGTTAGCACAGAGAAAAGTGAAAGCAGAAAGACTAAACTGAATCACGTAATTATAAAAAGAAATTTTTATGGGAGACTGATAATAGTATTATACCCATATGATTGTCTATAAAAACATTAAATAGGTGACAAGAGTTGTTCCAGAAATATTAATGTAAAAAATCTTATCTCAGTGAATAAATGATCATCAGTCAGTATATAGCTAGGTGAATGTAAAAATGTATCTGGAGTATTGTAGTCCTGAGATCTGGGGAATCCAATCTTCCAGTTTAAATTCCACAATCCCAAATCCTGTAAATTGTATATTATCACACCGTTTACAATAGGATACTTTGAAAATACTATATTGACATCAGCAGCCCCTGAATTTGAATTTAAGAGAACAGCTATTGGAAAAAAATTCATTTTTTAAGTGACTCTGTGTGTGTGTGTGCGTGTCACATCTAGGAACTGGGGTGGGGTGGCATTTGGGAAAGAGAAGGGGGAACAGGAGAGGGAGAAGAGGGAGAGACAGACAGAGATGCATGATTTAGGAAATGGCATTTCTAAACATAATTTCTCTTCTCACACCATTGCCATTTTTATACCAGGAGATTTGTAAACAAGTCTATGTAAAAATTATGCATACACTAGTACCTAAGAAATTGTGAAATAGTCATTCAGTTTTCCAACTATTTCAGTAAATTTTTATTAGTTAAAACATCATTTCATTTATTTCAACCTGTTTGACTGAAAAGAAATTTTCCTTTATTTTGGGGGGAATATAACTTTTCCTGTTTATAGCTTAACATGTCTTCAATATGGAGTGAAATAATGGTTACAAGGCCACCCAGAAATAACTAGCTACTGGTCAAAAAGTATTTTGATTGCTGAAAGACTACCAAGCTCTTTAATTATGTTGTAATTTTGTTATATAAACTGCTACTTAAAATAAAATCTTACTTAGTTTGTACTCATAAATTTTTATGAGCCTCTAAACAGAGGCTTTTCTGGCCATTGTGGGATTTAATCTGTAGTAAATGGTCATCAATTAAAATTAAGAAAGGTAACAAACAGACATCTGGAAAGAAGGCTGAAAAGTAATGCTGGGAACTGCTAGAGGAAAAAACTAAATGTAGAATTTCATTATTTCTACCAACGAGAAAGAAGTTTTCTTTATTGAAAGATGGTATGCCCAGGATAAGGTGGTCACATACCGGCTCACTTCTATTATATAATTTTGCTTTCAAATTTTTGATAAAGTTTATTAAAAGTAATCCTAACACCTATCTCATTTCAAATATTTAACATAGTGCTGCCAGAATAAAAAAAAAAATGAACTATGAGAAACCACAGTAACTCAAGCACCAGAGCTTAACTTATTATTCAACGAGTGTGTCTCATTCTGAGTTAATATACACTCATGCCAACCTCCGTGTATTCCAAAAGTGTCAAAGAGCTTCTGTACGTGGTAATCTTCTTTAAATGCATTTCTAATAAGTTAGAAAGCTAGAAATACGACTGAAACCACAAAGAATTCCATACTCGCTCTCAAACACTGAAGATGAGCATGTTCTTGCCTTTGGTTTATGAACAGAGATACTTGCAGTGTTGTTATATCTATCGGTATCAATCATTCAACTAGCTCAATTAGTCAACCTCTTCATTTTACCAGTGAGGATGCTAAAGACATGCAGTTAACACAGTGCCTTTTACAAAATAAATGCTCAATAAATGTTTATTAATTGGTGAACCAAGATAGGTAGCTATAGGTAGAGAGAGAACAAAAACCCCATGTCTTCTGGTAGTTCATGGCCTCTGAAACAGCTTAGTCGTCTCTAATCAGGTGAGATTCAATTCAGAGGACTACTAACCACAGGTATGACATCATCACCAACCCATGGTCTGAAAATGTTTTTGTTTTTGCGAATATAGCAAGAGAGATTTTTGAAACAAGTTTTCAAGGGCAAAGTATAAGAGGATATTTATGACAAATGGAAGTGGGAAAAAACAAAGCGTCTATATTTGACTTCCTTTTTTTTTTGGTGAATAATTTTTAGTGAGCTTTGCTAAAGTATAGATTTCATGGCTGAACCTTGATCCACGTAAAAAGGTGCCTGGCCCTGGAATGTGGCCGAAGTCTGATATTCAACATGTGATTGTGATTAATTTGGTCATTTAAAGAAATCTCCAATATTCTGTCAGTTTTTGAGCCTCAGTATCTATGGATTACTTCACAGGAAGTCAAGCCATATCAAGAGAACTAAAATTTTAATCAAATTTTAAAAATTTAGTTGAATTTTTGAATTCAATTTAAAAGAACAAATGAAGGTACTTGTGACAAAGAAGTACAGAAGGGAATTCCAGCCGGGTTTTTGAAAATTGGGTTGCTAGTTCCCTTTTCTAGGAGGCAATGAAATGAAAACAACTGTATTTCAAACTGAATGGCTTGTCCAAGTGGTAACTCTCTGCATATGCTCTTGGATCACTCTCTCCTTTTTGGTGAAGTTCTCATAATTGAATGGTGCTTGCCAGAACATGAAATGAAAAAAAACAAAGAATCCTGCATAGACTGAATTATAAAACCATGCTAAGCAAACCTTCCTACAGAGTGGCACGGGCACCCAGCAACATACACGCATACATACACCACCACTCAGTGTACACTCTGTGCTCATCAATTCACTCAAGTACACATGGAGGAAAAACACAGGTAAACAAGAGTCTTAAACATTTCTAAGATAAACATAGATGTTGATTGGATTATTTCGCACTTGCTGAGTCACTCAGGAATCTGTGGCAATAAGCCTACTTCAGAATATGAACTGTTTCTATTCTCTATGAGCAGAGATAAGTGATAAGCTGTTGGTGCTTTCCCAACTTATTTTCAAAGCCCATTACAAAAATAAATCAGTGTGTCCTCTAATAGCTCTAAACACAGTTTGAGTGATCATTTTTCTTTTGTGATTTTTTTTAAAAAAGAAATAAATGTCCATATTTACTAAAATCTTGCATTGAGTTACATTCAGAAACAAACACAGTCCAGTTCTCCTTGGTGGAAATCATCAGTCTATTTGCTCATTCTCTTTGACTATAAAAAAAATCTTTTGGGGTGAAATGCATTGGCAGTGCAAAAAAAAAAAAAGGAGGGGGAAGTCCGTTAAATAAAGTACTGATTGAATTAAGCACTCATATGAGTTCTCTGCCAGGTTATCTGCAAGCACACGAATCTACTGTCATGTTAGGATACACTTTAAGTACCACGTTCTTATTTTCATCAAAGAATAAGATACTGAGTGAAGACATCTTCTCTGGCACGCAGCAAGGCTCAGGAATTCCAGGCACGACCCCCACGGCTCGCACTATACTCTGGATGGTAGCATGATTTGATGGCTTCAAAGACTAGAAAAGAAATGGGAGAAGAACATGGAAGTTAGATGGAGCTGCTTTTCCACTCTTCACCATCCATCATTAAAATACATAGACAATGAATTCGTTTCAACAACTTAATAACACTCTGGCCTTGTTAGCCATCCAGCACAACCTCCTATCCCACTACCACCATAATAGTTATCAGGTATTGAGTAGCTGATATGCACCAGATGTGTTAGATGAAGTATCTCTAATCCTTACAACCACAACTACCATTTTTTATATTTTTCAAGTAAATAAATAGGCTCAAAAATCTCAAATGACATGTCTAAAGTCAAATAACTAGGAAGTGATAGAGTGAAGATTTGAATACAGTTACCTAAACCAGAAACACTTAATTAAAAACAACTTAGTCCCCAAACAGGGGATTAATACTTCTTAGGATGTCTTCAACAACAGGATTGCAACAAAAACCATTTGTTCTAAATTCGATGCTAATCATAATGAACCCTAACAAACACCCTATTTACTATAGATATATTATCGCCACTGCTATAGTGATATTTACCCTTTGCTGTTAAAATAAAACCAAGCACACCAAGGAACACTGATTTATTAATAGTTGGCACCACGATGGACTGGGTAGTAACTACTCCGCTGCGTAAATTATTCACCGCTCAGAAGCACTCACGGAGGTTAAGAAGACCACCCCGTTGGCCACTGGGGGGCACTGTTGCTCCATGGGTTCAGACTTCAAGGTGGTCGTGTAAAAGTGTTGTAAGAGGTGGCCAAATCCTCTGGGAATAGGGGGCCTGAAGTTTTTCCATGGGTATCAGAAGTTTGACCAAAGGAGCCTGGGTAAAATCCTTTCCTGAGAAAATGCCAAGAGGAACCACTGGGACCCACGTGACACATGGGATTTTATTTAGAGCGCCACAGGACTCTGCTCAGCTTTGAAGGACAGCGGCCTCTTTTCCAAGCCCAGAATATTCAGGTATTTCCAGAGCGCTACAAAATTCTTCAGGAGAGATGCCATGCTGTGCAGCACAGTTTTCCCTAACGTCTCTTTTAGGCAGGTGAAACCAGTTTGGTTTTAAATATATTTAGAAACAAATTTGGCAACTTGCCAGAGATCACATGTCAATTCAGAAATGGGATTTAGGCCAAAACTCTGGGTTTTTACTTTCAAGACTTCAAGCCATGTTTCTAATGGCTCAGAGGCACCTCTGAATTGGTATTTTAATGTCATACTCCTAAAAACTCCCAGTATGGGAAGCGGGAACAAGTTAAATAAGGTTAAGATACATACAAACCATGGGAGAAGCAAATAATATAGAAAGCTGGCATAATACTTAAAAAAAAAAGAAAAAGGATTATTTTTGGCAGAGAAAGGGCAAATTGATTTGTCTCATCCCATCTTTCAACTTTAAAGAAAGAAATTATCCATATATTAGACTTTTAACTTTATTGTGAATGGGCATAAATTATTTAAAATATGGTCTTAAGGATGGGCGACTGGGTTTTTCCTCTTTCTTCCTAGAAACTTTAAGTATGTGTTGGAAAGGATTGTTAACTTTCAATCAATTAGCTTTGCAGAGCGAGGTACTCTCCCTTTAAGGAAAGGAAGTCTATGTTCTATTTTCCATTTGCCTTGCAGCATCAATAAAATCTGTGTAACTGATACAAACTGTAATCGGTATTGTACAATAGAGATCAATAGCCACTGTTCTTTATTTCATCAGTATTGGTAATTTCCAAAGAACATTTTTGCAGCCATCCACTTTTCTCTATTGATTTATTCTTAAGATTCAATGATCCAAACAGCCTATAATAATGCCATGAAGGGCTTTTTAAACCATAGATTCTCTGACATTATTCTGTTCTTCTTACTGTTTTAATGACTCCTATAATATTTAAATTTCATATGAAGTGGATCTATTTAAGTAGATGAAGTCTCGATTGATCAATACTGCTATGCATTGCTATTCTCCAGAGCCTGGGACAGGGCATGCTCTGGGTACTGAATAAATACTTGCCTAATGGACGAAACACTTACAAGAAATAGCATACTCTCCATTTTACCTATTTCTGTGGAAATAATTCCCATCAACAAAAATAAAAGTTTCTGTACAAATGACCCAGAGTTGATATGGAAAATATTCATGGGTGTTTCCTAGGAAAATTCCTGTCTTTTTTTTTTTTTTTAAGCTCTAATTCACAAATGATAGATTCAGAAACTATGAGCAGTCTCTGGTGGGCTCGCTGGAATTCAGGCACGGGCCCTTGATTCTGGGTTGGTGTGTCTTATCACGAACCTTCAATTTGCTAGGGAGTTTCCCCCATTTTTTGTCACTACGGAATCCTCTGATCAAGCTGCCAATACTGGGAGTCGTTATTTCATGCACAAAAGATCCATGCAGTAATTGCTCGTTTGAAGCAGGTTGCCAGTCTGTAATTTTTGTTTGTTTTCGAGTTCAGATCATCCTTCTCAGACTCTCTTTATAGCTTAAGAAATTTGTCAATCTGTGTTATTTCATCCCTAGTCTTTGGTTTTTTGTTTTGTTTTGATTTGTTTTTAGATTATTTTATTTATTTGTCAGAGAGAGAGAGAGAGAGCAAGCACAAGCAGGGGGAGCAGCAGGTGGAGGGAGAGGGAGAAGCAGACTCCCAGCTGAGCAGGGAGCCCGATGCGGGGCTCGATCCCAGGACCCTGGGATCATGACCTGAGCCGAAGGCAGACGGTTAACTGAGCCACCCATGCGTCCCTTTCCCCAGTCTCCAGTTCCCCAGTTTTTAACGAGAGTAAAACATGACTTTAACATCAGCCTAGGGGATTTCTGCTTGGGTAACTTGGTGCATCGAGCTTTAGGATTTTTAGGTCATTTTTTTTATGACCAGAGGTTGGAATTGGAGGTTGGAGGGTGTATCATTTTGAACTCATTAAATGTGAATTTCTTCTTTACATAGGCTATTTGGTTCCAAGTGTTTCGATCCTTTGCTGCCTATTTCTGTGTCTTTGCTATTCTTAGGGTTCGCACCATTCCATGAAAAAATAACTCCATCCTCTAATCCTTATTGGTTCTCTCGCATCTCAGTCAGCAACAATGGCTCAATCATTTTCATTCCCTTTGCAATCTCTGTTTTCCATCTCCACTAAGGTGGTGAGGGGGAAGCGAAGTCATAGGACTTGGCTTGAGCTCTATGGGTATTTTTCATCTCATGGCAGAATTCCAGAGGTCTCTCCCTGGGAGAACAGATTGGCTGTAGGGGCTAGAAATCAGAAAAATCCACATGGCCGTGTCTGTGAATGAGATCTGCCGTAGTGGGGCCCGCACCTGCCAAGCTGCGCATGATGTCCCCGAGTTGAATTTGATTACGAATGCATTAGCAAGCGAGAGTGTGTCATCAGCTAAGAGCCTTCATTCCTGACCCGGGCCATGGGGTTTTGCTCCATACTCTTCCAGTCCAGCCCACATGGGTGTGATAGCCCAGAAACTATCTAATTGGAATCAGTGAAAGGGCAAAGCCTGGAATTTGGGAAAGGCAGAACACAGCTGTTCTGAATTACAGAACAGGTTGTCGACTTGTGCAGATGAAGAACCCCGCCATGGAGAGCAGGCTTTTGCTCTCGAAGCCAAAGGGAAGGAGGGCCAGCAGGGGAGTCTGGCCTGGGAGAACTTCTCTCTGGGGCAAAATGTATATCTAAGGTCTGAAAGTTCTTTGGCGCCTCCGTGACTCCACATGTGTTCGTACTGATCTGGTCAGAGACCTTATTTCTTCCTCTGTTGCGTGGACTCTATTTTTCTTTAAATAGTTCGCTCTGGTTACCATGTTGGAAGCTGTGCTGATAGCAGTGATGCTTATTAATTACCCCTTAGAGGGTAGCAGCTTCGTATTGGTTCCTGTGTCCCATCCTTCTGGTCATTGTACCACCTGAAAGCCACAAAGCCTGGCAGGCCAAAAGGGAACCCCTGGAAAGGCTTAAAAGGGAAGCTGATCCACACAAGGTGATGAGAGACGGAGAACTCCATCTAACAGCCAAACTTCCACTCTCCACTTGGCAAAGGGAAATCTCAAGCTTGGAGAAAAAACTCCAGACTTCTCCCTGTTATGTCTCCCTGGAGTTCTGATGCCCTTCCAAGTTTTGACAAATATTAGGATGAGTTCAGTTGTTGCAACCAGTGCTGGCCTGATTCTATGACTCTCCAAAGAACTGTTACAGGCTGTTGAACCTGCAGGGAGAATCCTATTTTAGGCTTTGTGATGTTTGAAAAGGGACTAGGAACATTTAAGAAACTTTTTCTTGTCTTAACATCTTTTATTCTCTTGATCCCTTTTCCTATTTGGGCTTTCTTCAGCCCCCTGCATTTAATTTTGTGTTCTCCTCAGTCTCAACAATGACCATTAATAATAATAATATCAATAGCAAATATTTATTGAGTGCCTACTATGTGCAAGGTGTTTCATTTCCCCACTGTTGTTATATGTAGATACTATTGTTTTTATTATGCGCTGTTGTACCCATTTCAAAGATGAGAAAACTAACATACAGTTGACCCTTATACAACACGGGTTTGAACTGCATGGGTCCACTTATATGTGAATTTTTCGATAAATATACTACTGTAAATGTATTTTCTCTTCCTTGAGATTTTCTAAACATTTTCTTTTTTCTAGCTTCCTTTATTGTCAAGAATACAGTATAGAATACATACAACATAGAAAATACTTGTTAATCTACTGTTTGTGTTATCGATAAGGTTTCCAATCAACGGTAGGCTATTCGTGGCTACATTATGGATCAAAACTTATCCGTAGATTTCCGACCATGCAGGGCATCAGTGCCCCTACCCCCCACGTTGTCCAAGGGTCAACTGTGTAGAGTATGAGTAACTTCTCCCAAAAACCTTAGCTGATAAGAGGTAGAACCAAGATCTGAGCCAAAAAGATTTAACTCGCCATGTGGCTACTCAAAGTGGGCTTTGTGGACCAGCAGCATCAGCAACACCTAGGAATTCTATTAGATACACAGAATCTTAGGCTCTATGCCCAGAGCCACTAGATCAGAACCTACATACCCCAGGCAATCTGTAGCCCCATTAAAGCTAAGAAGCCCAGCGATGAGCATGTCCATTTAATCATTCTGCTGCACTAACACACTTCTCTTCCTAAACCTATCTCTGTTATTCTTAACTCATCCCTCATAAGCTTTGAAATAATTATGCGTTGGATCTTGGAGAACTGTCATGAAGACCTACTGAAGCAACAGCAGGATTTTGAATAGTCAAGGCAGGCATAACCAACAGGAGATGGGGGGGCAAGTTGGGGTAACTGGAGTGGAGTGGAGACCAGACCAGGTCTCCAGAGGGAGGAGTTGAAAACTCACTGAATAGCTCCACATGGTCAGGGATCCCTGGGTCCTAAAATCTGGAGTCGGGAAGGAAAACTCCTTCCCCAGGCTTCATAGAAGTTACAGTTTATGAGTGTGAGAGATTATTTGGAAAACTCAGTCATCCTGAGTTTAGGGACAGATTTTGATTTCATTTTCGCCTCTCAATGCCACAAAGCAACCCACACTATAAAAATTCATCACTGTTACATTCTGCATCTTTGTGGTGTGTTTTTAAATGCTACCCTAGCTACCTAGATCACTGATCAAACAAAACAAGTTTTGTTTGATCAGTGATCTACCCTTTACGAATATTTAGACAAGATAAGGCTGTTTACATCATAGTAAATGTACATAATCCTTACTTAGTGTTCAGATTTACAAAACTTGGAATCGGCAAAAATCCTTGGGAAAGACAAGTCTTAGAAGATGTAGAAAGCTTGTCCTTCTGAGATATTCTAGTAAGAAAATGGAGACTTCAGTCAAGTTCCTTGCCCTAAGGCTGACCTGGCTTTGTTCAGTCAGACCTTATGCCTGTGTTCCATTTAACATCCCAATGATCGTGGGGCTGCTAGGGCAAGAACATGAAACTTTAAAGAGCTATAAAACAGAAGTTGCTCACTCTTGGAGGCAAAAGATTTTTTTTTCCTCCATTATTATATAGCAGCCAAAGTTTATTCACTTCAAGTTTTGGTAAAAAGAACAACAACAACAAAAAACCCAACTCTATTCTGTCTCCAAATTCTATTCCTACAGCCCCATTTCACTGTATGTCAGAGGTTCTAACTGTTAAAAGCTAAGAATAGAATGTCAGCAATAAGCTTAACTGAAGGCCAGAGGGCACTACTCTATTTTACTAACTTAAAATTCAAAGAGAACAGTCACTTGGATTTGCTGTGCAAGGAAGAGGTGGGATTGGGGAAGCTTCCGAGAGTATATTCCTTAGGATACTGAGTACTGATATGATAAAGTACAGTCTCTGTTGATTTTGGAAGAGACACAGGCAAGCTCTGATTGGTTGGAGTAAGCTTTGGAAGAAACTCAGAGAGTCAAGGTATCCTATTTTGCATTCCTTTTTTGATGTTTATTAGGGAAGCAAATGAAAGAAGCATCTGGTGGGTTTCATGAGGCGAGTTTCCCTGGCCCAACCCTGATCCTGACCCTGGTGGGGCCAGTTCATCTCATGAGAAACTATTCATCAAAAATTATTCTGCACGGGCATCAATCCAATTCGTCCTTCTCCCTCCTTTTTCCCATGACATCTAGTCATTCTCTGACTATGCCCTCTAAAATCAGCCTTCTGATCATTTGGGGCTTGCTGATTGTGGGCAGGTATAGATTCACACATAGCAGAATAGACCACATCACTGAATACACACTGTTGTTTGGAAGCAACACAAAAAACATATACGTTTTTCCTCATATCCTTCTTCATACCAATACTGACTTCATATTAATTTAACAACTATTAAAGAAAAAGCAAGCATAACCATCATTGCCTAGTACATGTCAGAATGCAATAAATAAGTGTCCAGATGGATTTTGTAAATGAAAACACACATTCAGTCCGTGTGTCTTTCTACTCTACAGAAGTAGGAAGGACAGGACAGAGAACAAGGGCTACCTTTGGCATGGGGAACTGGCATGCTCCGGAGCAATAATAGGCATCAAAGGACTTGGGGGAGATAATCCACTCACTCCAGCCAATATCCGCAAAGTCCACTTTAAGGTATCGCCTGGCACAATTCCGAGGTTCAATCCATTGCTTTCTTCTGGCCTTCTTCAGGGTCTGTTCATCAAACTGGAGCGTCTGGCTCTTCTGGTGAGGTCCCTTTCTCTGTTTCTTTTTGTTTTTAGTCTTCTCAGGGGCCTGAGTCTGAAGGGTCTTGTAAGGCTTTCTCTCTTCCCATACCCCATCCTCCCTATACTGATATTCTGCCCCAGGAAGCTCATTGTTCTGCAAAGGTAACAGGACCCCAGCAGAGCGCTTCTTCCTCCGCTCAACAGAAAGGGCAGCCCTGATGTGGCTATCCAGTTTAGGCACAGCTCCCGTGGGGAAATTCCGATGTCCTTGGAAGCTTGACACCACACTCTCCGGCTCAGAAATGGCAGCATCATTAGCATACACCAAGATATAAGGCTCGGGGAAGGGGAACATCTTCTTTGGCAGCTGGTGTCCTTTGGAGGTAATGGTAAATCCTATGAGGAACTCCTCATTTTCCTTGGCCTTCCTCAGGAGTTGAGTGATGTCTTTAGACAGCCAGGATCCAAAGTCCCGATGAGATTTGGCTATATCTACTGAAAGATGACCCAGGAGTTGACTTTGGTTTCTGTCATATTTAAGGATCCATGCAGAGAGATCCATCTGTATGTGTTTCCTCTGAGCATGATGTGAGCATCCTCGGGACACTGGACAACTCAGGCTGATGTTTATTAGCTCCCCAACATAGAAATATAGCGTGGCAGATAAAATGTTTTCAGACTTGGTTAGAGAAGTCAGGTTAAAAATGTGCAGTCCCTTGCTTCCAAGGGTTCCTAGGAAGGAAAAAAAAAAAAAGAATTAATGGGAGTAAACAGGACCCCTACCTGACACCACATAAAAAAAGTAACTCAAAATGAACTAGTGACCTAAATATAAGAACTAGAGCCATTAAATTCTTAGAAGAAAACATACAAGTAAAATCTTCACAGCCTTAGATTTGGTGACAGATTCTTAGATAATGACACCCAAAATATGAGCAGCAAAAGAAAAAAAAATAAATAAATTGAGAAGATGGATAAGCTGGACTTTATCACAGTTAAAGAACTTTTGTGCATCAAAAGACATTATCAGTAAAGTCTATACAACCTACAGGATGAAGAAAATATTTTCAAATCATGCACCTGACAAAATGCGGTATTCAGGACATATAACCAACCCTTACAACTCAACGTCAGAAGGTCAAAGAAGTCAATAAAAGATGGGCAAAAGCACCAAACAGACACTTCTCTGCAGAAGACATTTAAAGGGCCAACATACACATGAAGAGATGCTCGACATTAATAATCATTTGGGAAATGTAAATCCAAACCACACTGTGGTACCATCTGACATACACTAGCCTGGATATAGTAATAAAAAACAAAGTAAGTGTTAGCAAGGCTGTGGAGAAACAGGAACAATTTTACATTGCTGGTTGGAATGTAAAATGCTTCAGCTGATGTGCAAACGTTTGGCAGGCCCTCCAAAACACAGAAATATTATGTGAACCCACAATTCTACTCCTCTGTAGCCCAAAGAATGGAAAACAGATACTCATACAAGTGCATGCATATGCCTAGTTGCAGTTACACTATTCACGGTAGCCAAAGGTCGAGACAGCATAGAAGTCCATCAGTGAGTGAGTGGCTGAACAAATAATGCTATGTCCATAAGGTGGAATATGTAATGAAGTATTGTAGGTGGAAAGTAATGGAAGGTGGAAAAGTAATGAAGAAATGATACATGCTACAATGTGGAGGAACCCTGACAACATTATGTTAAATGAAAGAAGCCAGCTACAAAAGGTCACAGATTGTATGATTCCATTTACACGAAACATTCAGAGCAGGTAAATCCAGAGAGACAGAATGCAGATTGATGTTTTCCAGGGGATGGAGGCATGCAGAATGGGGAGAAACCTCTTCTTGGGTGGGAGGCTTTATTCTGGAATTATAGAAATATTTTGGAATTAGGTAGACTTGGTGGTCGTACAACATGGTGAAGGTACAAAATTCTGCGGAAGAATAGTTAATTTTATGTTATGTGAAGTTCACCTCAATTAGACAAACAAACAAATAAAGATAACAGGAGTAATTTTAAAAGCTAAAGAAAGATTAAAGCAAGGATCAGACATGTTTACTAATTTGCTTTTTCCTTTGCTGAAGCACTACGGATGTGTAGAAGTTGTAACACAACAGTGAACTTACTGGTGTGAGAGCTGAGAGTTCCGGCCTTTCATAAGATTACCAAGAACCAGTCCTATGAATCTGGCACAGGATTGTAATTGCTTCTTATCCGTGGCAGTGGATAGCCTACCGGTTATAAGTGTCAGTAGGTTTAGACTCACCTTGATTCAAGCCCTGGCTCAGCCACTTTGGGCAAGCCAGTGTTCTCATTCATAACACAGAGACCATACCTACCTTTCCTGCCATCAGAATTAAATGAGATGTGTGTAAAGCAGCTCATAAGGCACCCAGCAAGTGGCTCTTACATATAAATTATTATTGTTATTAGTGCTAGCAATGACCATATTACGGGATTATATCTTCTACCTGCCTCACAAAGTTTATGGTGCAGGATGAGGGTAGGTAAGCAAGACCATATAGCTCGATATTCAGGTAATTTATGTGAAATGATGAGCCACACATTCAAATTATCTTAAAGAATTAATGCCCTTGTAGAGTTGGCCCAGAGTTCATCACATCCCAAGAACTTAAGAGCTGAATTTCTTCCACGTCGTTTGTTGAAACTACTGAAATTGGTCAATTGTGTCTCAATTCTTCGAAAATGAGAGAGAGCAACAGAACAAACAGAACAAGAGATTGATTAGTAAGGGCAGAGGCTGGCCCCTTCTCTTAAAATCATCTACCAAGTTAGTGGTAAGGCAGAGGTTAGACTCAAGAATGCCCAGTCCCGGGATCCATCACCAAGAGCCCGGGCCCTCCTCTGTGCACTTGTTCCATATACACATTGGTTTCAGAAACATACACGCAATTGTGAAATTATGTTCTTGATCAAAAACATATTTCAGTAAAAACAAAACATTTTTATAAAGACGTGGAAACTTAAAATGAGTTCATTGAGTCCCCAAGCACAAGGGAAGTGCAATGGGAAACATATTTTACTCATTTTTAACACTATGTGAAGGCAAAAGAGGAAACTGCCATTTGTGCACATTTGTATAATCCATGACACCAGGATAATATTTTACAGACCTTTATAACAAAGCCATGGCATCAGGGTTGTTCAGAGACTCTAGCCTTAATTCATACCAGTCACCATAACATATACTTTTACCCAAACTTCTTGTAGCAGATGCAAGTTTAAAATGGAAGGAAGGGAAGTCTCTGTTCTAAGTATGTGGCAAGCGAATGGTTGCCAAACTGACATCCTGGCAGGGAAAAACATGAACTACAAGGGATCTGGGTGGTAGCGTCTTAACTGGTAAAGTAATAGTGCTCCTGCCCCCCCCATTTTTGTTTCAAAATATTTCCTCCTCAAAAAAAAAAAAAAAAGTTTCCTTCTTTCTTTCAAACATGTTTCCAGACACCTTGTGACCTGCTGTTAAGCAGGCTCCACCCCTGTGTCTAATCTTCAATATCCTCTTGTAAATTCTTCAGAATCTGCCATACTGCCTCTTGTGATGGCTTTCATTTTAGCTCAGTACTCTATTTTGAAGTCCCAGCCCTGTGGCCCAGGCCCAGATCCACCACACCCACTAGCTGTCCTTGGGCAAATAACCCAAGCTCTTTTTTTTTTTTTTTTAAGATTTATTTATTTGACAGAGAGAGACACAGCGAGAGAGGGAACACAAGCAGGGGGAGTGGGAGAGGGAGAAGCAGGCTTCTCCCTGAGCAGGGAGCCGGATGCGGGGCTCGATCCCAGGACCCTGGGACCATGACCTGAGCCGAAGGCAGACGCTTAACGACTGAGCCACCCAGGCGCCCCTAACCCAAGCTCTTTAAGTCTGTTCGCTCCTTTGTAAAAAGACCCCAATAGCGTCAACTGCAGGGTTGTGAGAATTAATTGAGAAGGCGCAAGTAAAGCACATCGCACACAGAAGAAACTCCGGGAATGTTAGCTATCTAGCGCTGCGCTGTCCAAAATGATCGGCCATTTAAGGCTGAACTGAAAAGTGCTGTTAAGTGTAAAATACACACTGCATTTCAAAGACTTAGTCCAAAAAAGAATGTAAAATATTACATGAACAGAAGTTTACATTGATCGCATGCTAAAGTGATAATATTTGGATGTCTTGGGTTAAATATTATGATACTGTGATTTATAATAAATATATATATACTCGGTCTTTGTCCCGTGTCTGGCACAGAGTTCCTAAAACCCTTGGTATTTCCTAAGAGATCCGTACAGGTGCCTTTTGTTATGTTAATGAGTTGAATTTAGAGGACCAACAGGGAAAGGGGTTGGTTGCCAGGGGAACCAACCCACTTATTAGAGGGTTGGAACTTTTAGCCCCACCCCTGATCAGGAAGGAAAGAGGAGCTGGAGATTGAAGCCATCCCAATGATTTAATCCATCATGCCTGTATTATGAAGCCTAAAAAGACCCAAAAGAATGGGGTTCAGAGTGCTTCCAGGTTGGTGAATACATGATGATTTGGGGAAAGCAACACACCTGGGGAGGACATGGAATCTCCACACCCTTGCTGTTTCTGAGTTATATCCTTTTATAATAAACTGGTAATCTAGTAAGCAGATGGGTTTCCTGAGTTCTGTGAGCTGCTCTAGCAAATTAATGGAAACCCAAGGAGGGGGGGTTCATGGGAACCTCCAATCTGTAGCTCCCCTCCAGGTGACAACCTGGGCTGGTAATTGGCATCTGAAGTGGAGGCTGGTCCAGTGGGACTGAGCCCTCTGCCTGTAGGATCTGACGCTATCTCCAGGGAGACGGAGTTGAATTCTCAGACACCCTGCTGGTGTCTGACAATCGCTTGTTGGTGTGGGGAACTTCTGGCCCACTTCACCCACATCAGAATTGGGTGCAGAACATTTTCAGTATAATAATATATGATTAAAATTAATTTCACTTGTTGCTTTTCATATTTTTAAATGTGGCCACTAAAAATTTTAAATTACATATGTGGCTCACGTTTGTGGCTCAAATTACATTCCTACTGGACAGTGGTAATCTAGGATAACCACCACTTTTGTAGTCATATAGTCCAAAAGGAAAGAAAAAAAAGGCATTTATATATGTATTTTTTTCCAAGTGCAGAGAAGAATTAGGATTTTGCTAAACGTGAGTACCCAAACCAAAAAGTAAGTTGGGGAAAAGATTCCCTTCTTGGAACGCAACAGACTTCCCTTTACCAAGAACATTAGATAAAGATAATTTTGGTGATTGCTTTTTCATTTTCCCTCCAGCTGTGGCTAATGGGTTCAGTCTGCAGTCTGAAGTCTAAGATTAACACACTGCTAAAGAGTTAAAAGAGTTAAATGGGCAGGTTAGCAGCAGTGCTTTATGGTATAGTGATTCTATTCATAGCTTCAGTTGTGTTATTTGTGTAGGACACAAATACATCCACTACAGCCAACAAAGAACCAGAACCAAAGCAAAACAAATGTTTCACTTTAACAAATATGAGTTGAACACTACTAGGGGCTGGCCCCTGGGCTGGGTCTCAGGGCTGCACAAACAGCCACTGAGGTCCACACTGTTGGGGGGGTGGGGAGGAGGACCGAGAAGCACCACGCAGGTAGAAAATGCCATGCCATGACGATGCAACTTGCTGTCAAAGGTGTGAACTGTGTTCTTGGAGCAGCAGCGAAGGGGG